GGGTTTTCACCATGTTGGCCAGGCTGCTCTGGAACTCCTGACCTCAGGGGATCTGCCCCGCCTCGGCCTCCCAAACCGTTGAGATTACAGGCATGAGACACTGAGACACTGCACCTGGCCTCTTTGTTTATCATCTTAAAGATGCTATCCTATTGTCTTCTGGTTTGTATTCTTGCTGATGAGAAATAGTGATCTTTCTCTTTATGTAATGTGTCTTTGTTTCTCTGACAGTTCTACAGACTTTCTCTGTTTCTTGTCTTCAGCAGTGTAACTGTGATGTGCCTTGATGTGGTGTTGTGCTTCTTTCTGCCTAGAAATTGTTAAGCTTCTTAAATTTGTGGGTCTATAGTTTACAGATTTGAAACATTTTTAGTTTTGTGTTTTCATGTATTTTTTCTCCTCCTTCTTTGGGACTCCAATTATACATTTCCTAGGTTGGACATTGTCCAATAGGTCATTAAGATGCCAATCTCTTTTTCCCCTCATGCTTTTTTCCTCTCTGCTTCAGTTGTAATTTTGGGGGTGTTACCAAATTTTTTGATGTTTTATTCTTCACTTGTCTCTGTGTTGTTATGTCGATCCCCTTACCTGATTTGTGGTCCAGAAATTGCCTCTCAGTAGAAAGCCCAGGTGATTATAGGACTCACTTCATTTGTTTCTCTTCTCTCAAAGATCACCGTCCTGTACTGCCTGTGGTCCAGTTGGTATCTTACATATTTTTTTCAGTTTTCTAGTTGTATATGGTAGGAAAACAAATTTAGTCTGTTTACTGTGTTATAGCCAAAAATGGAAGTGTTTTCTTTTTATATATTCGTGTATCTTATATTTAAATACATTGTATATACATATACCTATACTAAAATTAATTTACATTTAAAATCAGTTACATCTATCTCTATGAATAAATCTACCAATTGCTAACTAAATGAATAACTGTTAATTTCTCAACTTGTCAGGATTTTATTTTATTTTTTTTTTTTTTTTTTTTTTTGAGATGGAGTTTTGCTCTTGTTGGCCGGGCTGTAGTGCAGTGGCGCCATCTTGGCTCACCATAACCTCTACCTCTTGAGTTCAAGCGATTCTCTTGCCTCAGCCTCCCAAGTAGGATTACAGGCATGAGCAACCATGCTCGGCTAATGTTTTTGTATTTTTAGTAGAGACAGGGTTTCACCATGTTGGTCAGGCAGGTCTCAAACTCCCGACCTCAGGTGATCCGCCTGCCTTGGCCTCCCAAAGTGCTGGGATTACAGGCGTGACCCACAGCGCCATCCAGAATTTTAATGTATCGTCTATAATGACCCTTTTTAAGCAAGCCAATAAAGAGAAAACTATTTTAGTAGATGCAAGTGTTCTTCAGTAGCCCACATGTGCTACTAAAAATGCAGTTTTGTTTTGGTATAAGTTAGTGTAGTGTCATTGACTTAAGCAAGTTGGTGCATGTTTATATGTCTCCTGTCTTTATAAAAGACTTGCTAATTTTTCTGTTGTCTTTTCTTAGTCTCTTCATAGTCAGAAAAAATATTGGATATTTTATTAGCTTAGCCTTGAGGAGAGTTCTGCAGTAAAACTGCTGGTTCCCAAAAAAGAGGGAGAAAATAATAAGAATTACTAACTGGCACTCTTATTTAGCAAGTTAAAAATTACCTGTTGAGGTAGAACTTATTTATACTAGGCTCTAACAGACCACAGCTACAACTAGGAATTACCAGTCATCCAAAATGCAATCAAGAATCATTAAAAACTTACATTAATAACCTTGTATGTACCACTTCCAGATCTCTATGCTAGAAATAAAATACCTGGTTTTATTTTTCTGTTGCATGCAAAAAAAAAAAAAATTTATCTTAAGCCAATATCTAGCTATCTGATAGTTTAATTCTAAATAACTTTTTTGTAATCATATTGCCTTTGGGGAGAGGGGATGTATTGAGATATGAAGCCATTATTTTTCTTTCATTCAATTTTAGTCCTAAAAGACCATTCAAACTGGCATTCAATTCATATGTTGACTTTTTTTTTTTTTTAACACATAAAGTATTATCTGTTTCTGCAGGAAATAGTGTTAAGAGTTAACCCTTGGATAGCATCTAATATGACATCATATATTAATGCCATAGTAATCCTGAGGTTAACAATAAGACAGTGTTTATTCATGTTGGATAGTTATCAGATGTCTTCCTTCTTGGGTTTAGAGTGGTAATTGTACATATTTTAAACTCCTCTTGTGTGGTAATCCAACTAGATTATCTTATTTGTACTGGGCCTAATTTTCCATACTGTAAGATAATATACTATACTTTTCCTAGTTTTCCTCCCGTCAGAAGTCAGAAGTTTTAATTATGTAATTTATAATCCCTATAACTGCCAGAAGTAGACTCCCTGCTTATCCCCAAGTGAATCCTCATCTTCACCAGGTCTCTCTGCATTCCTTCTCTATATTAAAAGGTGACTAGACCCAAAATGGCAGAAAGAGATGGAGCTTTCGGCTTTAAATTTTTCGTTGTCTTGTCATTCTCATAGCAGAGGGAGCAGTTCATGATGGCTGCAGCATTTAGTGGTGGTGGCTCTTGGCAGTCGCTTTCTTGCAGACCAGAGTCTTTCCCCTCCTTGAATGGCAACTAGGTTGATCAGTGAGATTTTCAACTGCTTTTCTGGATGATGTTTACAGGAGAATTATTTCTGGGTCACCAGTGGCAGTTCTGATACCATACAACTTGTTTAAAATTCTTGCTAGAAAGAAATCCATATTGCACCACACAGTGCCTCTTTCTGCTGTTTTCTGAGGCCAGCATAGAAATGCTGTCTCTTGACCAACTCAGGGTAAGTTATTATGTTCCTAAAGGATATCCAAAACCTACTCCAACCACTTTCTACATTCAAGTCACTAAAAGAGTAAATAAATCCCAAATTTATCTTCCTTTCCCCTCACTCCAACTCCCCACCCTGAATATGGAAGTGTTGATTCTGTATACATCAAGTCCCAGAAATAGCCCATAATATTCCAAAGTTTATGTTTAAATTAATTCTAATAGTGAGTATTGTATTACCCATGTTCCTTTTTTTTTTTCTTTTGAGACAGAGCCTTGCTCTATCGCCAGGCTGGAGTGCAGTGGTGCAATCTCAGCTCACTGCAACCTCCGCCTCCTGGGTTCAAGCAATTCCCCTGCCTCAGCCTCCTGCCTAGCTGGGATTACAGGCACATGTCACCACGCCCAGCTAGTTTTTTGTATTTTAGTAGAGATGGGGTTTCACCATATTAGCCAGGATGGTCTCAATCTTCTTTCTGACCTCGTGGTCTGCCCACCTCTGCCTCCCGAAGTGCTGGGGTTACAGGCACGAGTCACGATGCCCGGCCCCCATGTTACAATTTTTAAGAACATGTGCTGCTGATTTAAGGAAAATCCTCAGCTAGGAAAAGATCAACAATTCCCATGCCCATATGTCTTTATTTCTTCTTGATAAACCTATAATATTTGATGCTACTGACTAATTCCAAGGAGTATTCTGATTCCATTAAAAATTCTGCAGTAGTGGAGGACATTATTATTTTCTTGTATGCCATTAGTAACATGATGCACATTTTTGAAGAGCGGCTTTATTCGAAATGAAAGGGAAATTTTAAAAATGGAAATATATGAGTTTGTAAAGCACAACTTGCATATGTCAAAGAAACTAAAGTTTAACTCAGCTTAGCTGAAGTGACTTTTCTAACATACAAGCCAAGAGTTTTCTTTCTTCTTAGTATTGCTTTGTCAGGAAGCCTGAAGGATATTTAGGTAGATCCTATCCTTCATTCAAGTTAGACCACTTTATCTGTTTCTCATAGCTGTTATTTGGACTTCATTTTTCTCTCTGCCACCTGGCCTGACCTCTATGGAAGTTTAAGTCTGTTTACCTCCTCTTAGCTGCCTACCATGGAAAGCAAAAGACTTCAACACGTCAAAGTTGCAGAGCCCTGTTAGATGCCCAGTTTCCTACAGGAGGCATGTCTCCACTCTTCCTACTTTCTGAGATTCTCTCTAGTAAAGTCAGTCATGTCCATTTTTTTTCCCACCCTTCCTAATTTCCAGATAAATGTTTTTTCCTTGGCTTAGAGTAGAAAAATACTTCAACACATATATTCTCATCCAGGTAATCACCAAGTTTATTAAAAATGCATGTGCTGAATGATAGACTAATTAAAAAGAAAGATAGCCCTTTTTCCCAAATGAATATTCACATTTTCTTGTTTTCCTAATACCAAATGTCCATCCATAGAGATTTGTGCCAAGGATGTTGGCAGGTTTTACATCAATTACTGGTATTTTATGAGAGAAAATGAATTAAGAAGAAGTGTTCTGGGGAAGCAATTATTCACTTTGTTTTTCTCAACTTACTCTTTTTTTCATTCTATTTCAGTCTTGGTTTCTTTTGGCTTTTCTTCCATTGACAATCTTTTTCCCTTTTATTTTTGTTTACATTCAAAAATGTCCTACTCTGCTTCTAACTTTTTATTCTTTTAATCAAAACTTACTCCTCAAAATATGGGGTCTTAAGTTTAAAATGTAGTTAAAAACATGTTAAAATTGTTTCTTCGGCTGGGCATGGTGACTCACGCCTGTAATCCCATTACTTTGGGAGGCCGAGGTGGGCAGATCACTTGAGGTTGGGAGTTCGAGACCAGCCTGACTGACATGGAGAAACCCCCATCTCTACTAAAAATACAAAAATTACCCAGGCTGGTAGCGCATGCCTGTAATCCCAGCTACTCAGGAGGCGGAGGCAGGAGAATCACTTGAACCCGGGAGGTGGAGGTTGCGGTGAGCTGAGATCATGCCATTGCACTCCAGCCTGGGTGACAGAGCAAGGCTCCATCTCAAAAAAAAAAAAAAAAATTGTATCTTCATATTAGATTCAGTTGTCTTAGGAAGTGAAGAAAGAAGGATGAAGAGGAAATTATCTCTTGGATTGCTTTCCAGGAATTCCTTCTCTATACTTTAAAAGCTCTTATTCTTTTCTAGGAGTCCAATGTGCTGATTGCTGCTAACAGTCAGGGTACAATTAAGGTAAGCTATTTACTGTATCTCCATTTTAAACTCAGGACCATTTTTAGACTGAAACAGGATTATGGAAATATACCATTGTACTGAGTTTTAGCGATCATCCCAAATCATGGGTCTCTGTCTCCTGGCAAATGGCTTGATTTAAGGAAAAAGAATAGGTAGCTTGCATCTGTGGAGAAGATGATAGTGCTTGTTGAAGTTGTATGGATGCTAGATGGATTAATAGATGGTCAGTTTGAAAAACAGATAAAGACTAGTGAACATTCACTGGGGGCTAAGCACAGTTTAGCTTCTGTTATGCCAGTACAACTATCCCACAGGGCTTTCAGTAGACAGAACCCAAAACATAGCAGGAGATGCAAGATATAGCAGAAGATGCTTACACATCACCAGATTTAAACATATGTTAGTCTTATTTTATTCTCTTCCTCATGGTTCTCTTTCTTCTGTTCCCTAAAAAGTAGGTTTTTCCTCAGTTGTCAAAGGGGGGGGAAAAGTTATTTTAGTGTTCAGTTGAAAATTGATAGATGTGATTCAAGGAAGCCTAGCCATAAAACAAAAAGAAAGAAAATTGATTGATGCATATATAGCACTTGTACATGATACACTGGATAAATAAATCCTGAGATAAGCAGTGAACTTTCTAAACAAAACACCATTTTGGTTGAGTACCTGTTTTTTCCACATATTCTCTGCTTATTTGGTAGAAATATTGAAAGTTTTTTAACAAAATGTGTGTGTGTCTCCTGCCACTTAGCATTAATTTTGCCATAGCTTCCTTAGACTCATCATAAATGGAGAATGACCCATCAGCCAAGGCAGCAAATCCCAGCCTAAACATTATTCTACAGAGGTGAGATGAGCAAACTTAACGCAAAAGAACTGCACTGATTTACATGGTAGTCTCCTTTTTTAGGCAGCTAGTTTCTCTATTTGAAAAGTCTCTTTAGAGAACCACTAAGAGCTTAAATGAAAACGAGGTTTGTTAACTGATCAGTGTTTGTTATATTCTGGAAGCCTCAAGCAAGATGGTAGAAGGTCTTGGAATATCCGATTTAAGTGGCTTTCTGTAGTCTCTCAGTCTCTCTCTTACTCTCATGTCAAGGCATGAATTGAAAAGGTACACCTTACTCTTCAACAGGTTTATCCTTTGCACCAATTGGGATTGCCAACATATCTGCAAGAGCTCAAAACTACATAGGTTCTCATAGGATCGCACTGACAAATCTAAGATTTTGTTCAGCATCATTGACCTCTTATGTTAAGTAGCCTAGTTACCTAATATAAAGACAAAAGCATTATGGAAGCACATATATTTGTCAAGCCTTAGCCGAGCAGCAGGGGAAAGATTGCACGTTTAAATATTTGCTACTTAGTGAGCGTTGTAGTGTCCATCTAATGTAATTCTTTTTGACAGTGTCTCATAACTATCCTCCTATTCTATGATCTTTCTTAGCCATTTGCTTCCTCTTAGTTTTAGCAGTATCACAGCTGACTTTTTATGACAATATACTACTTTAATTCTAAAAATACAAAGGATCTGGACACTAGATGATTGGCTAGAAATGGATGAAGCAGCAGGAAAGGGCAAGACTTCAGGTCCTGTATACCTTGATCATTATAAATAGTGTTTATTGATGGAAGAAGAAAACAGATTAAAACCCTAAACAAGGATACTTAACACTTTCATAAGAATGTGGAAAGATTCTAACATATATTCCAAAAATGTTATATTTGTGCTATGCATTAGCCAGTTTATTTCTCCACGTGTTTTATGTAGTTTACCTTGAAGGCTCCCAAGTTAACTGTGGAGATAGCTAATCTGAAAGAGTTCATGCAGCTGTTAAGCTGCAGGTCAGAAAGGATTAATGTCCAATCCATTCAAATTCTTTGACATTTTCCCAGTTGGCAAACGTTTTTTAAATTTGCTTCTCTATTGGTAAATATAGTAGAGTCATTAAATTCCTTTTGTATCTTAAATGATTTTATTAAATGGATCCTTTTTTCCCCCCAATTAGGTGCTAGAATTGGTATGAAGGGTTAACTCAAGTCAAATTGTACTTGATCCTGCTGAAATACATCTGCAGCTGACAATGAGAGAAGAAACAGAAAATGTCATGTGATGTCTCTCCCCTAAGTCATCATGGGTTTTGGATTTGTTTTGAATATTTTTTTCTTTTTTTCTTTTCCCTCCTTTATGACCTTTGGGACATTGGGACTACCCAGCCAGCTCTCCACCATCAATGTAACTCCATGGACATTGCTGCTCTTGGTGGTGTGGTTATCTAATTTTTGTGATAGGGAAACAAATTCTTTTGAATAAAAATAAATAACAAAAAAATAATAAAAGTTTATTGAGCCACGGCTGAGCTTGGAAAGTTCCTGTCAAATGCAGCAAGAGATAATTCTTTTTAAGAAGTAGCATATGTGAACTATAATGTAACAGTGAATAATTTGTAAAGTTCATATTTCCCAACCTCTTTGGGAATTACGCATATCAATGTAAACAAAATATAAAGTACGTAGATTTCTGTCAGTGAATTTACTGTTTACAGTTGATAGAAAGATTACTTTATAAAATTCTTTCTTCATTCTCTGACCAGATTTATATCATCAGCAAGTACTGTGTTGTCCAGTCTCTCTGAATCTGGCTAAGGATCTAAAATTTTGACCTGTTGAGACCACATTTAAACAGAAAGAGAATGTTAGTCTCTGACAGCTAGCTCTGTCTTTGCCTTTGAAATGTTACATAAACATACCATAAGCCCTAAATGTATACGAAACCAACTAGTCCATTGCTTTTAGTACCATCCTAGGCTGAGTAATGTCTTGGAGCAGGAGTCAGCAAACTTTTTCTCTAAAGGGCCAGATATATTTTAGGTTTTGCAGGTCATATGGTCAGTGTCACAACTATTCAGTTCTGCCAGTATAGCAGGAAAGCAGCCACAGATATATGTAAACAAATGTGCATGGCTGGGAAGTAGGCAGAGGGTCAGATTTGGCCCACAGACTCTAAGCCCTTAACTTAGAGGAAAAGGATTGAAAGCCCTGTTATCCAAATTTCTATATGGTCACTTAGATTATCTAGTTGGTTTTTATAAATTATTTTCAAACTGTAAAAGGAAAGAAGACCAGCAAGTCAAGCAAAAGCGATGTAAAGAGCTGCTTTTAAAGTTAACAACAAGGCCAGGCGCTGTGGCTCACGCCTGTAATCCCAACACTTTGGGAGGCCGAGGCGGGCAGATCACGAGGTCAGGAGATGGAGGCCATCCTGGCTAACACAGTGAAACCCTGTCTTTACTAAAAATACCAAAAAAAAAAAATTAGCCGGGTGTGGTGGCAGCGCCGGTAGTCCCAGCTACTTGGGAGGCTGAGGCAGGAAAATGGTGTGAACCTGGGAGGCGGAGCTTGCTGTGAGCCGAGATAATGCCACTGCACTCCAGCCTGGGCAACAGAGTGAGAATCCGTCTCAAAAACAAAAACAAAAATTATAAACTTATACATCACACATTTTATAAAAATAAACACTTGGAGAACAATAATAATAATACACTTGGTTGAATAAAGATAATGCATGATGAAGGTAATCAGAATATCCCAATGTATTCTTCCACTCAAGATTACTGAAACCTGTTATAGGTTCACATCTTCTTATCTGAAACACTTGGGGCCAAATGCATCATAGAACTTAGAAATTTTCAAGTATGGCCGGCCACAGTGGCTCACGCCTATTAATCCCAGTGCTTTGGGAGGCCAAGGCAGGTGGATCACTTGAGGTCAGGAGTTTGAGACCAGCCTGGCCAACATGGTGAAACCCCGTCTCTACTAAATATACAAAAATTAGCCAGGCATGGTGGCGGGCACCTGTAATCTCCGCTACTTCGGAGGCTGAGATGGGAGAATCACCTGAGCCCAGGAAGCAGAGGTTTCAGTGAGCCAAGATCGCGCCACTGCACTCCAGCCTGGGCAACAAAGACTACACAAGTATTAGAAAACTAATAGAGTACATATACTAAATATTATGTAACAATCTCCAACAGAATCTAGAGCAGTAGTCCATAATCAAACACATTAATACTTCTGTAGCAGAATGCATAAATGTTCACATTACATGGGGTTAATAACAGCCAAAAGCAGTTTTGTATCAGTGCAAGGTCTGGTTTTACCACCAAACCAGTTCCTCAAGATCAGGTGAAATTTTTTTTTTTTTTTAGTTTTTTTAAATTTTCAGATCAAGAGCAGTATCTTGGTTCTGTGAGTTAAGACCTGATAAACTTTTAGACTCAATTCTGAGAGTAAAAGTTAGTATCATTCAAAAATTACAGGTCACCGACCAGAACAATATTATTTGAACATTGTTTCCAAGATTAATAAAGGACCTTTTGCAAAGATGTAAAAAGAATATTCAAATGTAGAAAATCCTCCAGATATGAAGCAGAGAGTTAATGCCTCCTGAATGCATTTAAGTAGAAGCATATTACTGTGATTATTTTATTTGGTGTCACTTTTTTAATGTTTATTTCAAACTGTATACATTGTGGGGCCATTTAATTTCTATATGTTTGTAAGAATAAGGTACATTTAGTTATCAAAGGGATTTAGTTTTTATTTTAAGAAAGCAGTGCTTCATTTAAGTATTTTTTCTAATTTTTTCTTGTAAACAGAAAGCGTTTTTAAATTTGAGATCATCTCTGCGAGATGTCAGGATCAAACATACTACTATTCCTTGCAAAAACAACATACTATTAAATAACTTAAAAGTAATATACATTTTAACACCAAAAAACTCCTCACTCAAGAACAGTATAGCTTGTCAAAATGTTCCAATTTAATCTTTACTTAAGTGGACTTGTAGGGGTTTCTCAGACATTAAAGATGGAACATTGTTTTTCTTTTTTAAATAGAGATGGGGTCTCCCTCTGTTGCCCAGGCTGGTCTTGAACTCCTGTCTTCAAGCAGTCCTCCTGCCTCAGCCTCCCAAAGTGATCAGATTACAGATGCAAACCACCAGGCCAGCCCAGTCTTGAAGAATTTTTTTTGAGACAGAGTCTCGCACTGTCACCTGGGCTGCAGTGCAGTGGTACAGTCATAGCTCACTACTCATAAACACCTTGGGGCTCAAGCAGTCCTCCTGCCTTACCCTTCCAAGTCCCTGAGAGCACAATTTATTTTTGTAGAGACAGGGTCTCACTCTGTTGCTTATGCTGGTCTGCAACTCCTTGGCCTCCCAAAGTACTGTACTTGCACCCAGCCAAGATTGGAGAATTTTATACAGTTCTTACAAGAAGACTGAACTATTAAATATCAAAAAACTTATGAGAGTGTGCTACAACTTCAGAAAGATTAGCCTGAACAATGAAGAGAGAAGTATGGGCTGAATTGAAAGAAGTGGAGGAGCCCAGTACAATGGAGCCTTCTAGAACATAACTGAGAATTTGAATTTGGTCATAAAGGCAGTTAAAGGGAGGGGCTAAAGGGGATGGCATAATCTTGATTTATGGTGAATGGATAGATGGGGTCAGGAGTGCAGTTAGGAAGGTGACCAGTCAAGAGTGTATGGGGACTGGGAGTAAGGTTGCAACATTATCCAACCTGAAAGTTTGTTTCAGCTATAGAGTTCACCACAATCTTAATTCTTAATCTTGGAAGATTCTTAATTTTTAAAGTCATTGTCTTATAAGTTGTGAACAACAAAGAATGTAACTCAGCAAATGTATTTCTTCGGTGGTTATACAGTGTTCAGCCAGCAGTAAGTCACTTGGGAAACTCATGACCAAAATGTTCATGAGCTATTTTGGGGGACCAGTTCTCTAAGTCAGCAGACCTAGAAACTCTCCAGACCTGGTCCTGAATATAAGAGTAATTAGTCATTGCCTTTAATACAATTATGCAGATAAAACTGGGATTATTAGAAGTCTGCATACTTAGAAATGAAACATTAGTAGGTGCTACCTTAGATCTTGAGCCTATTATGTTACATGACTAACATTAACACTTTACCAACAGTAGAAATGTGTTGTTCCTCCCAGAGCAGTTAGCTAACAAATCTACATGTGGCTTCTGGTTAATATATTAAGCACTTCTGGACTGTTGGACTGAAAAGAAAATCATAGTGATATTCTAGACGTATTTGTTGAGCTCCCCCTTTGTGCAGGGAACTATGTACTATGTACTCAGGATAGATATAAATAAGATTTGATCCGTACCCTCAAGAAGCTTGTTGTTCAGTGGGAGAAACAGGTAAGTATACAGGGTGTAAGTACCATGATAGACAAAATCTTCAGGTGTATGCAGGAAAAACATAGAGTAGTGGGAGATTAAGGACTGGTAGAGGCAGTTTTCAGGATTTGTGTGTGTGTGTGTGAGAATTAAGCTATAAGAGGCAAAGGAACATCTAGCCCAATGGAAGCAAATTTTTTAAGTATGAGTAGCTCCCATGGCCAAAACTGGAACAATTTGAACAACAAAATAAAGTAACATGGAATTATAACCCAAAGTATAAAATAAATATGTGAATCCATGTTGATATAAACAAATGATTGAATAAATACATAGAGAAGAGACAAATTTTCCATGAAGAATTCCAAATAATTTATGTAGGTAAATCAAAGAGATGGAGGAGCATAACTTTCCACTCCTTCAGTATCGTCTGTGCTTGTTGACTTCCCTCCCAAAGAGTACAGTGTGGAAGAGGAGAAAAAAAGTCAATTTAAAATTGAGAAGCCTTACAAAGACTACCTTGGCCAGGTGATCAAGGTCAACATCCACAGTGGTAAGTCATGTTGATAGTATATACTCTTGTTATGATGCAATGAAAAATGGCATTTTAACTCTGATCTTTCTTCCAAAAATAACCCCATAACCCCACCCTGAGAAAAACACCAGATGAATTCCTGTTGAGAGAACCTACTATAGCAGGGGTCCCCAACCACCAGGCTGCAGACTGGTACCAGTCTGTGGCCTGTTAGGAACCAGGCCACACAGCAGGAGGTGAGCGGTGGGTAAGCGAGCATTACCTACTGAGCTCTGCCTCCTGTCAGATCAGTGGCGGCATTAGGTTCTTATAGGAGCACAGTCCCTATTGTGAACTGCACATGCGAGGGATCTAGGTTGCACGCTTTTTATGAGAATCTAATGCCTGATGAACTGACATGGAAGGAACAGTTTCATTCCCAAACCACCACCCCACCTCTAATTGTTTCAGCTAATGGAGTTCTCCACAGTTAATCTTGGAAGATTCTTAATTTTTAAAGTCATTACTGAGTTGCCATAGACATCGGGTCTATGGAAAAACTGTCGTCCACGAAACTGGTCCCTGGTGCTAAAAAGGTTGGGGACCGCTATACTATAGTACCTGATACTAAATACC